AGGTCTCCCACACCCACCTCCCTACCAATTTGGATCGCTTGTTGTTTCCCTGTCCCTGGGAGACTGTAACTTTTTATCGGCGTTTCAAGCCCTGTCTTTCTTTCTCCTGAGGAGCGGCTGGTGGTTTTGAACTGTGGGCCTTGAGATCACAGCCCAATGTGTAACCACTACGTCACCAGGGCTCCTTGTAGGATGTACAGCATCCACAATGCGCAGTGGCTGTAGCATGGACTTAAGCTTACCAACGAGCATGGAGGGGATCAAGGCACCGCTGCATTTTGCTGTCCGTGGGGTTCCCCAGGAGTCAGAGCCAACTCATGGGTGACAACAGTGCAGGCGCCATGTTTGGTGCGTCCGTCCATCCATCCATCCATCCATCCATCCATCCATCCATCCATCCATCCATCCATCCAGTGATGGACATTTGGGTGTCAATGCAGAGAATACTGGCGCGCTCCCATCCATTTCAGTTGAGACCATACTTTTTGGGGTCTTTGGGGGTAGCGTCGAGCATGAGTTTGGATGGATTGGCCTTGGAATTCATCCAGGAATGAGGGATTTCCTTGTGTTTTTTTTTTAAACTTTGTTCTCCGTGGGTTTCCAATCCATCACCCACCCCACCCACCCTTTTTTTTTTTTTGGTAAGCCTGCATGCTCCCACCTGGGAGTGGTGGGCTTGTTTCTCATCTCCTCAGGGTTGGGGCCAAACGATGAGCAGACCTGTGTGGTCCAGCCTGAGCCCCCGCTCAGGCAGTGGTTTCTCCCACAGGCCTTGGCTGTTCTCAGGGGTGCAGGTGAGACGAGTCGTTCAGGGGACCCCTCAGCTCCAACACGTCCAGACCTGCCACCTGCAATGGCGGCAACTTTTCAGTGGGCTTGTTCTGCCTCCTTGAGACTGCGTTAGCCCGCCCCCAGAGCCCCTACAGCCTTCCAGAACAAAGTTAGGCTCAGATGGAGTGGAGTTTCTGGCAGGGAGAGCCTGCACTGCCACGTGAGGCTGCCTGGCTAGCTCCTGGTGACAGCCCCATTTTCTCTGTCAACAGGTCCTTCAGCCCACAGCCCTCTCCAGCCGCTCTTCCCGCATTCACTCCTGTCAAAGGGATGACGCATGTGACAGTGTCGAGTGGGGGCTCATTCCACTGTCACCTAGCAACAGCCGAATGGATCCCCGGGCTCTGAGCTGGCGTGGGGCACAAAAGCAGCTTTTCAGCCGCTGCTCTCTCCCACTCACACACCGGGCTTCAAGTGATGCAGGACGAACCGCAAAAGGGCTTTGGCCGGGGCAGGCCCACGGGCCTCTCTCAGGGGGTATGGGGAGGGCAGTTCCCGGGTCTGCTTCAGGACCTGGGGCCATAGTCACTGCCCATAGCAACCCACGTTTATATAGGATTCTGGAGCTGGAAGTAATGGAAGAACCCCCTCTTCCAATAGCTCCCTGCCTTTTTTTTTTTTTTTTTCCCCTAACAGGAAGTGGCTTAGCCTCCAGGGACACTGGCTCTGTTCTCTCTCCCAGCCCCTCCCAGCCCATGGGTCCGCCGGCATCTCAGTCCTTGACATTGAAGAAGTGCTTCTTTATGTCCGGAGTTAGCTGTGTGTGTAACTCAGGAACATTCCTTGCTGGAAAAACTATATATATATATGTGTGTGTGTGTGTGTTTTTCATTATAAAGTAATATGACCCCTTTACAGAAAACAGATACAAGGGAAGGGGGACTGGGGGGAGGAAAAAAAAGTCAGTCTTCCATAATCCCACGACCTGAGCATAAGCCCTGTCAGCATTTGGTATCTTTCCGTTGTCTGTTTCTCTTCCAGCACATCTGCTTTTTCCATACTTGTGATCATGGCATACGTACAATCTCGCGTCCTGCTCCTTCACTTACCATTTCCCTTAAAGCTATACCACGAGTGCTTTTTCGTCTTTGCCACGTCGTCTTATTTTTAATGGCTATACATGTATACCCAAAGACTGGACCATTTCCTCTTGAGCGGCCCTGCTTACGTCTGGGGTGGTACCTTTGGGTTTCCTTGTCCAGCTGAAAGCTCCCGGGATCTTACATTGCTGTTGTTCGGCTTCTCCTCTGCCCCCTTCCAGGGACCAAGTCCTTCGGATTAATGTCAGGAATGGAGAGGAGATCAACAAAGTGACTCAGCTCATGAATTCGGACAACTTTATGGTACCTTCTAATTCCTCTCGGGGATCTTCTCACCTGGGTGGGAAGAGGCATTTGTGCCACTGGCCTTGTGCATTGTATTCTTCCCGAAGATTGGCCAGTAAACCAGGATGAGTCAACACACCATCTCCACGTGGAGACGGTGACAGGGGCGAGGTGTGGGTGAGCAGCAGTGCTGTCCTGGAGGGAGGTGGGAGGTGGGAAATACAGACCCCATTCTGCTGTCTGCCATGGACTTACGGGTGCTGGAGCTCAACTAGACAAGACTGGCCGGATCCAGTGTGAAATGGCTCTGCTCTTAGACACCCAGCCCCCTCCAGAGACCCCCCCTGGCCTTTCGCAGTGGTTCTAGAGAATGAGCTCCTTGTGCCTTTTACCCGATCTGTCCTTTAACCTGGTTTTTACTTCTGTCCAATTCAGCTCAACTTCTGGAAACTCCCCAATACCTTCAATCGCCTCATGGATGTCCTAGTCCCATCTGTCAGCCTGCAGCCAGTCAAATCCTTCCTGCAGTCCCAGGGCTTAGAATACTCCGTGGCAATTGATGACCTGCAGGTGGGTAGGCCAAGGACCCCCACTGGTCTGGCAGCCCATCCAGAATGGACCTGAGAGAGTTGCAAGTTCTAGCCCCACCCTTTTCCATCTTAGCGATGGGGAGAACAGGGGCGGGATCTGGGAGGAAGAGGGAATTCCTGTAAAGATCCGTAGTCTCAGAAGCCCTATGCAGCAATTCTCCTCCCTCCTGTGGCTTGCTGTGCGCTGGAATCAACACCATGGCAGTAGGCTTGGTTCTTGGTTTGGAAGTAAAGTCAACGACTTCTTCCAGGAGCTCCCATGTAGCAGACAGCGCACAGATGGGCTATGCAAACACACGGCTCAGGATCCAAATTCGGATTTTGCAAACTACTTGCTTTGGGACTTTGGAAGAGCTCTTAACCTCTGGAGCCTCGGTTTCTTCATCCTTCACATGGTGGTTGTGAGCCCTCAATCATAAGCTGATGGGGAAGACTAAGTGATCAAATGCACGTCCAAAGCCCAAGAGTGCCTGCTACATTCTAGACGCTCCACAAAGCTGAAGTTCCTCTGCCTCTTTTTACCGAAAGCCAGGGGCCAGAGCAGAGCAAGACTGGGAGAACAGTCCTACAGGGTACCCTTTGCGCAAGGGTAGTGTTACCCACAGCCCCCCGTAGGGGAGAGTGCCCCTTCTGAGCCAGACACCAGCCTCACGTCCTGTCTCTGAACAGCAGGGCCGCGTCTGGCTCGCGTCGTCCTCTCCCTCACCGGGGTGGGTTATGGACTAATTGGTGATTCGGCCTGGGAGTTTCCTGATGGTGTGAGCAGCTGTGAGCTTATTAATCATCCTTGTATGTCACAGGCATCTGCCAAGAACCTTCAAAGTATGAGTGGCTATAAGAATTTCTTTGTTTCTGAATGGTTTCCCAAGCGGGGCACTTGAGAGGCACTGGATGCCAGATGCGGACTGCTCTCTAGAGACTCCGAGTGCAGAATAACCAAAGAGCACATATGTTGCTGCCAGGGAGTCGGTGGGTTTTGAATGAGGTGATGCAAGGCGGGCGCCAAGAAGTACGGTTTCATAAATACGTGGGAGCAATCTGACCCCGTTCGAAACCGTGATGCCGGTGCTGCTTGAGATGTGTGTGTGTGTGTGTGTGTGGGGGGGGCTGCCATCTTGGTCAGCCCGCTGGGAAGGCCACGGCTGCTCTCACCACCCTGCCCTGTGCGCTTTAGTCCCTTCTAGATGACGAAGTTAAGGAGATGCAGTGGATCGAAGGGAAGGAGCGGAGCGGTGATGATTTCAACTATGGGGCCTACCACTCTCTGGAAGCTGTAAGTGTTTCAGAGTTGGCTGTACTTCTTCCCTGCCTCCTGGGCTCGGAGGACCCCTCCTGTGAACTCTGGAAGAGAGTCGGCAGTCTTTCACACAGTCCCACTCCATTCTGTTCCAGAGAACACAGTAGCGCTCAAACGACACATTGTCTCCAGCACCAACCTTCTCTTCTTAAGCTGCCCTGGGAAGAAACCCAGGGAATAACTTCAGTCATTGCCAGCCCTTGTAGTTCAACCTCCGGATACCCACCACGGCCCCTCTATCTGGTTCAGTCCGGAGAAACATCTTGCTTATTCCGGGCAACTAGACAAGTGGTGACTCCCAAGGTTAACCAAGTATTTCCACTCATTTATCACGACCACTTAGACTGTAGGCTTGTTCCATAACGTGTTTCGGTTCTATGTTTAGTTAGAAACCATCTTACACAGACGACTAGCTCTCAACCCATCACATGAGAAGCTCGGGACCAACCATTCCAGGCACCATCGGGCTGGAGCTGTGTCACGCGGCCTGCGGTTCTCTTAGGGGCCCTTCGCGGTCTTCCCCACGCACCTGCAGGCTCCCCACAGCTCAGGAACACTTGCCAGTTCTAAATTGGTGCTCTCCTTCAGGACCAATGCCAGTGAGCCCACGAGGCTCTTCAGACAGACGTGGTTTCTCGCTGTGGGCTTTTCATCGGCATGTACTTGAAGTCAGTCGGTTGGTTGTGTTCTACCCACCTCCCTAGACAATTTCCACTCCTTTCCCCGTGGTTGCCGCAAGTCTCGCTGATTGTACACCCTTCCAACCGCACTGCCCCTCACCCCCAACCCCAATCCCTCTTGCGACCAGTGGCAAGACAGCTGGGTGGAGTTAGGAGTTCCGTCTGGGGTCAGGCCGGAAATCGCAGCGAGTGGGCCCACACGGGGATCGGGCCCCGGGTGGGTGTCTCATGACCGCGGCACTTTCCTCAGCTGAGCTAACCTGTCACAAATTCCACCAAAGACCCGTGAAGGCTCAGCCCCCTCACCTGCCTGCCTGCAGCTGGCGGCCCGTTTTCCCAGCGACCTTGCACAGGTGTACAGCTTGCTTTGACCTTGGGTAGTGGACTGGGTGTGCTCCCACCTCCCGCTAACTGGATCCCACCTGTGCTTCCTGAAAAACAGCCTGCAGGCCCTCAGGGTTTCTTAGGGCTCCCGTGGGATGTCACGTGGCCTCTGGCCAGGGTTTGGGGTCCCAGACCTTTTGGGTGGTTGCTGAGGTGGGTGGGATTTTTGTGGGCTTCTCCTGATGCGGGCAGTGTGACCCTGAACCCACCGCTGGGCACAGCCGGGTGACTTAGCTTCCCACCGGCTTCCCTCTCATGGCTCAAAGGCGTCTTGCTTCTGCCCCACTTCCCAGGGTCCGTGGGTCAAGTTTGCTGGGCCTCCTGCATGGCTAGAACAGCTCATCCTTGTGTCATGAGCTCAGTCCCCTGCCTTGCCCCACAAGGGACCCAATGCCTTCTCCTCCTTTTTCTGGTTTGCGATCCATCCTCACTCCCTGAGGCAGAAAGACAGCCCCTCAGCTGAATCTCCTGCCCTCCCCTCTGGCATCTACAATCGTTCCATTCCTCCCCCTAGCCCCCACCTTGCTTTTTAAGTTTCTGAACTACACTGTGCACTTGAGACGTGCCGTGGTGTTGTATCTGCCCTTCCTGTGCGTTTGGGGCGGCTTCTTGCTTCTTGCTTCAGTTGGCCGTCTTGATTACAAGTCTGACAAGCCCTTGACGTGTGGCATCAGCCTCGCCTGGGTGCCCATTTGTCTCCTCTGCGAAGTGGTGCCATCCAACTTTAAGGAATCACTATCTACGGTATTTATGTATTCCATCCCATCGATCCGCAAAAGGCTGGAGCAGATCAGATGGATGGATTCCATCTCCATCAAGCCCCGTTTCCCCAGGAAAACAAACAAGCCTTCTTAGCCACTGTTGAAGGGTCTCCACCGGCTTCCCAAACCCTTTAGAGCAGCGGTTCTCAACCTGTGGGTCTCTCCCTTCACAGGGGTCGCCTGATTCATCACAGGAGCAAAATGACAGCGATGAAGTAGCAACGAAAATAAGTTTATGGTTGGGGGCGGGGTGGGTCACCACCACATGAGGAACTGTATGAAAGGGTCACGGCGCTAGGAAGGTTGAGAACCACTAGTCTGGAGACACCCCCCCACCCCCCACCCCCCGTGGGAGGTGCAGCTGCAGGCTGTCAGCAAGGTGGCCCATTGGGGTGGGGCGAGGAGCTCCAGCTTGTGTCCCTATGTGTATTTGTATCTTATGAACCCAACCTTTCTTAGCTCTATTGTTTTGTTCATACGATGTTTCCTCTCTCGGGAAGAAGCCCTGGTGCCAGAGTGGTTAAGCTTTGGGCTGCGGTCCACAAGATCTGCCCTGCGAAACCCCAGCCGCTCTGAGGGGAGAGAGATGGGCTTTTGACTCCTACAAAGAGGGACAATCTTGGTCACTTCTTAGAGGACAGTTCAGGTTCCCGTCCCAGTTCCAGCGTGGATGGCTGTTGCTATGTGGATACGGCTGGCGGGGCTGGGCCTGGCTCCTGTGGCTGGAGTGGTGGGGTGGCAGGGCAGGGATGGGCGGGCGGCCTCTCCCAACTGAAGTTGGCTGATTCCAGGGAAGAGGAGCCATGAGCGTGTCGTGAGTTGAAATCCCGAGGTAGCACCTTTCTGCCGAGGCATTTCCAAAGCCCAGTGTCTGTCGGATGCACTCGAAATAGAGATCAGATGAGTCCACAAACCACTAACTTTCACTCATGAGTTTATTGCTTATAAGTTGTTGTTTGCTTTTTAATACACATTGACACTTTGTTGCTGGAAAAGAAAAAAGAGCTGCAGTTTCAGAGCCCACAGGGACAGATCTACCCTGTCCTGTAGGGTCGCCATGAGCCGGAAGGGACTCGATGGCAGGGAGCTAGCGTTTCATTCTCTCTCTTCAAAAAGGTTGTTGGCACATGGTATTTAAAGAGAATAAACTTTTTGAAGCCAACTGGTTTTGTCGCCCCTGAGGCGAGGGGGCTCTGAGAGATCATCAAGACAAGACCGACTTCATGGACTCCGAGTTGGTCTGATTTATCTGCTTAGATTTACCGGGAGATGGACAACATAGCGACAGAGTTCCCTGACCTGGTGACCAGAGTGAAGATCGGACATTCCTTTGAGAACCGGCCTCTGTATGTATTGAAGGTGAGGTCCAGGCTTCGGGCTTCTGATGGGGGCAGTTGGTCAGGACCTCCCTGGCCTCAGGGAAGAGCGCAAGATCTGAAGACATCCGGCCCAGGTTAGAAGTTGGCCTTTAGCTGATGTGGGGGGAGTCGGAGTGAGCCCGTCCATCCAGCAGTATGGGGGGGGGGGGCGCGGTGTAATTGAGGAAGGTCAATATTTCAGAAAGATTGAACCACAATCTTTCCCCTTCATCCCCACCTTCTCTACACTTGATCTCAGTCAAAAGGCCAAGAACCGACCTTGTCTTCTTTAAATAACCAGGTGAACTGGGATAATTCTACAAGCTCCATTGGCTTCTTAGAAAAGCTGAGTCTCTGGGTGGTGCGTTCAGCTAACGCACTTGACCACTGACTGAAAAATCCCCCCAGAAGCCCCTTCCAAGCAAACTTTGGTGATGGATGTCCCCAAACTCAGAACCATTGCTAACCTTCCCGAGTTCAGCCCTCCTTTGAAACCGTTGGAGTTGGCCATGAGTGGGCATTGACTTCATGGCCATTGGCTTGGCTCAGCTGATTGGGAGAGCAACCTACCATGCTCGTGTTAGAGGTCATGGAGGCGGTTTTCAGCCCAGCCACCCAGCCACGGGTCTTTGACTGCACCAAGGACAACTTCCAGGTCTTTCTAACAGACCCAGGTCACAATGGTGAAGGAGCGAGGGACCGGCGACTCTCATATAGATGACAGTGCAACCTGTGTGAGCTAGATGGCCTTGCTCTCCCGAGCCTCAAAGGTTTGCCATCTTTGACAGGGAACTGGCTTGTCCCTTAGAGGAAAAGATTTGAGCTATCTTTCCTGCACAGGTCTCTGTCTTACACAGTTACTGACTTCCATAGGTTTCTCTGTGTCTAAGCAATCCCGTTGGATGAATGAATGATTAGGACTTTGGAGATAGGAACCATGGGACCAGTGATCCTGCGAAGAGTTTGGCAAACCCTTAGCAAAACCCTGTACACCTCAATGAACTCAGACTTGCAGCCCTGGGCACATTGCCAGGGGGAGCACCTCAGTCTGCCCCTGAGCTGTCAGCTCCCAAATCATGATGTTTAGATCACATTCGCTGAGCACCTGGAGACTCTGCTTGCGTTCGCTCCAGCCTCTGACCATGGCCAAGGCAGGAGGCAGAGTTCAGTAACACCATTGACATATAGCTGTAGTCAACCCCTGACGTCCATTTGAAAAGCAAATCCATTTACTCCATCGACCAGGACAGACCGGTTCGTGCCCTCTGTGTGTGTCTCTCTCGGGGCATCCTTTTAGGTCTTCCAAGAGACAGCATCTAACTGGTAATCGCTGTGTCATTATGCTTGCGTTTATTTTCTTTCGCTAATACTTCCAACTAGAGATGCGCACAGTCTGCCTGGGGGCCCCACCAACCAAGCAATTGAGTTCCCGGTCACAAGCAGCCAGATGAGGAATAGATGATGCCCCGGTAGACGGCGCCCTCCAGAACATTGGGTGTCTGAATGATCTTAAGTGGATTAAATGCATAGGAGCAGGGGAGGGGCGGTGGGGACAGGGAGGCAAATGGAGATGTGGCCTGATGGTCCCCTCTGGCCCCTTTCTCTCTGCAGTTCAGCACCGGAGCAGGGAAGCAGCGGCCAGCCATCTGGCTGAACGCAGGCATCCATTCCCGAGAGTGGATCTCCCAGGCCACAGGCATCTGGACGGCGAGGAAGGTCATGTCACCTGAGATTAGCCAGGAGTTCTGGTGGGGCCGGGAGGGCCCCTTTGGCTTCCCATGTGGCTGGGCACAGGGGACAAGGTAGAGAGGCGCTGGCTCCAGAGGCAGAAGAGAAACACAAAGCTGAAGCGCAGTGGTCAGCCCACTGAGGGGAAACGGCTGGAGGCACTCATGGGGGCACGTGCCTTGTGGGTCACACAGGTGGACCCAGAACTCTCAGGGAGGCACGGTAGCAGCAGACTCAGCCCAGTTTGGCCTTCTTGCCCCTTTGGGTCCCACGGGTCCTTAGAGACCTCCTGCGGACCCCCTCCCCAGCCCTGGGAAGCCAGGCTTAAGCCAGCTCTGGAAGAGGAGAGCAAGCACCCCGGTGGTGTAGTGGGTTCTGTACTGCCTGGGCTGCTAACCACAAGGCCAGCAGTTCAAAACTACCCGTTGCTCTGTGCGGTTAAGACGAGGATTTCTACTCCAGTCAAGAGTTGGAGTCTTGGAAACCCTCAGGGCGCCTCTACCAGTCCCATACGGTTGCTATGAGTCCCAGTGAACTTGCTGGCAGTGAGTTTGATTTTGAGTTTTTTTGAGGGGAGGAGGGAACACTTCCTCCGACCCCTTTGATGCAGCATGAAATGCCTTACGGTCCCTGGGTGTTCCAACAGTTAGTGAGCTACTATTAGCCAGAAGGGTGGGCGTTCAAACCCATGCCGCGACATCATGGAGTCAAAGCCAAGAGCATCCCAAGCGTCCGGTCTACTCTCATACCACACGGGGTTGCTTTGAGTTGGAATCATTTCCACGGCCACTGACTTCTGATCACGTGTGGCGCCTCCACTCCTGCCCCCTGGGAGGACTGACTGAAGTGGATGTCACTCAAGCAGCCAGGCTCCACAGAGGGTTTTGTAGAGAGCTTTGAGGCTGGGGGTGTGGCGGGGGGGAGGGGGGGGGCGCTGCTGTTCTCCATACTGGGCATCTGGGGGGATGCACGGGTAAGGCGTAGCTGACCAGTGTTCTGTCCTCACTTAGATTGTCTCCGACTACATGAAGGACCCAGCCCTCACCTCCATCCTGGGGAGAACGGACATTTTCTTGCTGCCTGTGGCCAATCCTGATGGCTATGTGTACACCCAAACCAAAGTGAGTGACACCCAGTGGGCTGGGCGCGGCGTGGAGGCTCCCGTGGAGCGCCTACCTTTGTCCCTAACCACCCTGGGGAGTCTTTTCACAGACGGGCCTCCTTGGGCTTTCATTTGCCCACCCTTCTCATGCTGAGGACCACCTGGGGATTCTTTTTTTTTTTTAAGAGTAGAGTCTCATGAGCCCCTCTCACTGATCTTGCAAAGCTATCCACACGCCCTGGTTCTTCTTGGTATCTATTTCCTGAAGTATGTGGGAGCCGATTCTAAATATCACAGGAGCGCCTCCTCACCCCAGAATCTTCTGGTACACATTTCTCCCGGATGATAATTAAAAACAGAACAAAAGATGCCACACCACGTTCAGCTTAAACAATCACAACAGCAAAGACCAGCATGGCCTTCTGCACTGGGCTGCCAACCAAACCACAAGGTCAGCGGTTGGAACCCACTAGCTGCTCCTCGGGAGAAAGATGAGACTTTTTGCTCCGGTCAAGATGTACAGCTTCTGGAACCCACAGGGGCCAGCTCCACCCTGTATTATAGGGCTGCTGCGAATCAGAATAGACTTGGGTGTTGGTCTAGCTTAATACCTCCCAGTACCTTAAAAAAAAAAGTCTTTTTAAAGGCCATTTATTCCCATCAGGGTCCCAATGAGCTCTGCACACTACATATGTAGGTGATGTCTCTTCAGCCCCTTAGCCTTCCATCCACACCCTGCCCCTCGCTCTTTGGAGAGACCAAGTGGTCTGCCTCACGTTTGGAATTTGGCGGGTGGCTGCTTTGTGGCCTACAATCTGCCCCCTTGTCTACTGTTTCCTGTAACAGGAAGTCAGATCTGGAGGCGAGATTCCATTCAGGTCCTGTGTGTGGTGTGTTTGCAGGAGGGTGGGGGGAGGCAAGAAGGAAATAGAAACTCTGCCCTTTCAGTGACCTCCCCGATGACCGAAGCACACGATGTCCGTTTGTCCAAAGTCAAGCGTTGGCCACTGGCGCAGGTGGCGTCAGTTTGGACCTGGCATTGTGAATTCTCCGCAGGGAATTTGGGGTGCATCTCTCCTCTCTGGGGGTTGGCGAGTGAGGACAGGAGCCCAAGGAACCCTCCGGACCCCCAGTAGCTCATCCGTCCCAGGCTCTCCCCCTCCTGGGCCCCGCTCCAGCGCCTCGACCTATCTTGGAACCTTTTGTGGACTTTTCAGAACCGGTTCTGGAGGAAGACACGCTCCCAAAATCCCGGGAGCCGTTGCATTGGTGCTGATCCAAACAGAAACTGGAACGCCAGCTTTGCCGGTAGGTCTGGGACCGTTTTCCAATCCTGCTGCCCCTTGGAGTCTCCTGGTCCACTAGGACCCTGAGGTCCAGCGAGGGCCCAGGGTCCAGCCTGGCTCCTCGGCTGAGTCTCTGAGAGGCCCCGGAGGAGCCCCTTAGGCTTCTCGGTGTCTCTGCTTTTTTTTGTTTTTTAATCTCATTTTCATCCTCTTGAAAGGGGGTGACTCGGTAATTCCTGCCTTCTCCGGGTTATCATGGGCCAGAGCCGCTTTACTTCAGGATGGCAGCCAGGTGGTTTGTGGAATTCTGGGTGGGGGCAAACCCTTGACGCTCTTGGCTGTTAACTGAAAGGGTGGAGGAAAAGACCACTCAGAGGCCTCTTGGAAGAAAGGCCTGGCGCACAGCCGCGGAAACCCTTAGGGAGCACAGTTCTACTCCGACCCACACGGGTCCTCAGAAGTTGGACTTGACTCTTGATGGCGACCGTATCTCCCCCTCCTCTGTCCCCCCCAACACCGCCATCTTTTAGAACACAACCCACCTGGTCTGAGATGTCAGGAACCCTGGTGGCATGGCGGGTCACGCATCGGGCTACTAACTGTGAGGTTGGTGGTTCACACCTATCAGCCATCCGTGGGAGACAGATGAGGTTTTCTGTTCCGTAAAGATGTGCGGTCTCGGAAGCCCACAGGGCCAGTTCTGCCCTGTCCGGGAGGGTGGCTATGAGTCGGCCTGGACTCACTGGTAGTGGGTTTGAGTTGAGCCTTCCAGGTTCAGACTCCAGGGTCTTCTTGACCTCTGGTCATGCCACCTTCTCCCAGGTGAGTTGCTGGGTGGGTGAAGGTCTTCTGGTGGCCACAGAGAAATGCCCACGCTGAGGGCACCTGATCCTGCCATGAAGGTGAGCTGCCAGCCGCATGCCCTTCCAAGTGCCTGAAGCCAGGCAGCAAGAGTTAGAGGACCTGGGTTCTCAGTCCCAGCTACTTAAAGACCCTACAAAGGTGCCAGGGCCTTTCTTGTATATTACCTGACTTCCTCGCCTTCCGCGAGCGAGTGGAGCGGCATGACAGGCGGGCCCACCTCGGAGATATCTCCGGCTTGGTTCCCGACCACCATGGGAAAGCCATCACCGCCACAGGGCACGGGGTCTGTGAGTGGGCGGTAGCCCTGTGATGCAGTCTGAACGATGGTGGGGATGGGGACACAGAGACACGCAGGGAGCACAGGCCGTTGGAACAAAGGTGCCCGTAGACTTCTCGACCGACGTCCGCCGGCCACCAGCCTTCTCTGTGTCTGCAGGAAAGCGAGGTGTGCCCGTGTCTGCATGTGTCTGACCATGGCTCTCCGCCTGCTATGGCTGAATAGGGCCAGGCCTCAACTTCATCCTCCGCTACCAACGCCACGCAGTCCTTGTTCATGCCTCAGCAGCACCCCGTGTTTGGTGTTTGTCTCTCCAGGAAACCCGCAGAAAAACCTCCGAGGGAGGGGCACTGGGGCTTCGGGCGAGGAGCTGATAGTCAGTGGGGACGGTGGGCATCGTCAGGCCAGCTCTTCCTGCACCGAAGAGGGTGGGGAGTGGGGTTGGAGGAGAGGGCTTCACACCCACCTGAGCTACCTCGGGAAGAAAGTGTGGCAAGACATGCCCAAGGCAGTGCTCCGGAATGCCTGTCGAGTGATTAGGAGCTCTCAACTTCAACCGAGGATTATCTTTGACAGCCCTTGGCCACGAGGATCCGAGCCAGAGAATGCGTTGACACCTGTATAAATGGAGTCATTTGCATTATTAATTGGTATTCATATTAACGATCGAGAGTACTTATTAATTACAATTCATTGTCGGGTGTGATATTCATTATTCATAACAGCTGCTGTGGGCGCCAGGCAGGGGCAAGGCTGTTCATTGACAGGGGTCCTGTGGATCTCCCTTCTCTGTGTCCCATCCACAGGCCACGGGAGGATCTCTCAGTGGCCTGCCCCGGGGCTGATACCTTCAGACCTTTCCCCTGGGCCTGCAGGTTCACGCTTCTGGGCCGGCTTCCATCCGCAGGTCAGGGAACCAGCGACAACCCCTGCTCTGAAGTGTACCATGGGCCCCATGCCCATTCGGAAGTGGAAGTGAAGTCAGTGGTAGACTTCATTCAAGAACACGGGAACTTCAAATGCTTCGTTGACCTGCACAGCTACTCGCAGCTGCTGATGTATCCCTACGGATACACGGTCAACAAAGCCCGGGATGCGGAAGAGCTGGTGAGTGGCTGGTTTCACCCGGGGGTCCCGCCAGGGGCTGCCCAAGTGGTGGCCCTGTGACTTCACAGAGGAGGTCAGGAGCCTGGACTTGGGTCAGGAAGGGTCCAGCCTTCCAAGAAACCCACACTGCAAATCCTCCCGAGAAACCCTGCTCGGATACGCAGGCCAGTGGGGTGGGGGGCAGGAGGGGGGCGGCAGGGCACGGCGACTTGGCATCCACAGGAGGGCAAGTGGGTGGTTTTGGTTCCACCCTCCATGCCCCTTGGGAAGCACCATCAGGTTGGCTGGGGACAGGAAGACGCAATGGCCCTCACTTCTGTGAGTTCCACAGTCTCCCCACCCACCGGCCCTTCCTTCCTGCTTGGCTTTCCAACAGCAGCTTGCTCTGGTGAACTGTGGTGGACAGGCGGGGACCCCGGGACAGGGGGGAGGCATCCGGTGTGGAGCAGGCTCCGATATGCAGGGTGACTCTGGCCAGTCTCTGGGCCAGTCAGCTTGAGCTCCCTCTCTGCTTGGGGGCCCCTGTAGGCCCAGGAGCCCCCAGGCTGATCCACCCCCACCTAGGGCTCATGGCTGGATAGGGCCTTGACTCTGCATGCCCCCCAACCCTTGGTCTTCCTACTCGGGTGTCTGTTTGGAGCTCATCTGATGAGGGGTGGCCCTGCCTCTCCCTTCTGACTGGAACAGCCACCTCTTCGGTGGTCCCTCGTGTTCCTGGAAAGGACACCCCCTTCCTTAGGACAGGTGGATGCTGCCTCCTGGTTTGGGGGTGCATGTGGGCGGTGGCCCTCTAGCTATTTGGAGAGCTTGAACCCAGACTACCCAGTTTCTGGAGCCAATCCTGTCCTCATACTTGCCACAAGTGCCCTCCCACCATCTTGGCCCTCTCTTCCCACCACCATCCCCAAGGGCCTTCCTCAAATTGGAAATGAGGCACGGTGGGTGGGGCGGGAGGAGGAGTTAGAGGAGCCCGCCCACCTCCCTCAGTTCACAGTCTGGTTGGTGGGAAGGAGGAAGGGACAGAGGGAAAAGCCAGGGGGCCGGGGAGGTGTGGAGCATGTCCCCAGCCTTCCCAGTGGGGAGCAGTGGAGGGCTGTGGGGGTCAAACCTCTCTCACTTGCCGTTCCCTATCCCAGGACAAGGTGGCGCGGCGTGCAGCCCAGGCTCTGGCTTCCCTGTCAGGCACCGAGTACCAAGTGGGTCCCATCTGCACCACTGTCTGTAAGTACTTGCCTTCCTTGTTAGTTACTTAGAAAGCCCGAGAGAGGGAGCGTGAAGTGGGGTCTTCGAGAGCTGCCAACTGGATTTCTGATGTCATGGTCTGATGGGTCTTGTTGCCAGGAATAGACTGAACGAATGTCAAGCCTGTGTGAGAGTGGCTGTTGGGGTGTTGTAGATGCCCCCGCCCCGCAATTAATGGTCACGTGGGTGAGTCGGCCAGCACCTGGCCCTCACCTGCTCCAGTGAAGGGTCTGATCATCCCTGTGTCCCTGACCCTGGGTGCAGCCATAACTCCTTCCCCAGCACTCCTCCCAACCGCCCCACGCTCACCCCCAGCGCAGCCAACACCGTTGCCTAGCCTAAAACCCTGCCACTCAGGGAGCAAGTATTTACTGAGCGCACACTATGTGCAGCCTGCACACCGAAGCCGCCTGCCCCTTGGGGCCTCCACTCTAGTGGGGGACACAGACAGTCAGTAGCACAGTGGAGGAGAAGGCCATTTGTGCCCAGAAACAAAAAGGGAAATGCTTCTGGGGGCGTCGGGGGAAGAGGGCACAATTGAAGGTGCGCAGGTGTCTGCAGAAACAGCACCCAGGCTGCTGGGGTCAGCTGCCGTGGGGTCAGCTCCAACGCAGGGAGACCCATGTGGTCAGAGCAGAACGGTGCCCCCCAGGGGTTTCTCTGGAAGCAGCTCGCCAGGCCTTTCTGCCTGGTCTGTCATCGTCCGGGGGCGCTGCGGAAACCTTTTCAGCAGCAGAGCAACCTGCCAGCCTGCACTGAAGGGTGGGGCAGCTGCGTGGGAGATGCACTGGCTGGGACTGGAACCCCAGTCTCCCTCATGGAAGGCGAGAATTCACCCCCTGAACCACCACTGCTCTCCTTGTTCAAACTGGTGGCTTCCTTTTCCCGTCTTTGCCCCCTCCTCTAGCTGGTGTCCTCCAGTTGGCCCCACCTTCGGGGCACCTGCCACTTGTCTGTATCCCTCCTCCGTTCCACAATGGTCCACTGGTCCATCTATCTCCTTCCCCTCACTAGCTGTGCCCGGCAGGGCCACCTCCTCTCTGGGGCCCTCGCCCTGCCCTGCGGGGATCTCCGCAGGCTCCCTTGGGTTTGGCTGCAGGAAGCCATTATTAGCATGATGTTGGTGCTTGCGCTGCTAATTGCAGCAACAACCTATTAATTATTCATGGTTTATTATTACTGTTGTTATTAAGTGGAGCTCTGCAGCAAACACAGCAGCGGGGGTTCACCACCTTCAGCTTCCTCAGAACTCTGGCAGGGCTGGCAGGACGCTAAGGGAACGTACAAGCACGTCCCTGGAAGAGGTCTCCTCGAGAGGCCTCTGTGCCTCACCAGCGGCCTGTGTTTGGTCCAGATTCCAGTTTGAACAGTGGTCTTGTCCTCCCACCTCCACATGCATTCTTCTCTCCAGCCGAGGCTCGGCCCAAACCCAGGCATAGTCCTCAGCTGCCGCCAGCAGGAGAGGAAAAAGGCTCTCCCGAGGGCGGTCCAGGAGATGCAAAGTCCCCTGCCTCTTCCAAAAGCCCACTGTGTCCTTGATAGAGCCTGTCTGCTTCCTTTGCATTCCCAAACAGTCAGTGTCTGCACTAGGACGTTCTCCCGAACCCCACGCCCAAGCTACCGAAATTGTTGATGTGTTTCCCTCCGAGTGCTGGCATTTTCTTACTTAACCTTCTATTTGAGATGAAAGGGGCACTGGCGACATAGTGGTTACATGTTGGGCCGCTGCCCTCGAGGTCAGCAGTTTGAGAGCACCATTCACTCCGAGGGAGAAAGAGGAGGCTTTCGACTCCCGTAAAGAGTGACCGTTTCGCAGACCCACAGGGGGCAGGTCTACCCTGCCCTCTAGGGTCACCATCAGTAGGGATTGACTCGATGGCACTGAGTATTTTTTTAGATGATATGAATTCTAACATCGATTCCACACTTCCCTGCCCCGCTAACCAGGGCACGTGGAAGGGTCAGGCCCCTTTCCTCATGACTGAGTAGACGTGCATCCATCAGTTAGATATCCTGAAGGCCGCCCATGCTGTATGGGTGGGGGTGAATCCATGGACTGCATCGCCCCGGCGGCCTGTTTGGCTCTGTATCTTCTTATGTCTGCTTCCTCCTGTCGGACTGGAATGGCTTTCAGGCAGACTACCTCCAGCTGCCCTTCGCCCAGCTCCCCCTCGCCGATTCTGATCTACAAAGGACTTAGAAGCAAGCTCTTTGGGCTTGCTCAGCTCCTAGCTGAATCGTGGATCCAAAGGATGTTCGTGGCAGTGTTGTTTAGGGTAGCAAAGACTGATGAGCATCTAAAGGCCCATCAGTGGAGTGCTGGATAACCAGTTGACACATCCATTAGAGAGGAACGCTCAGCGCTGTCCTGGAACAATCTTCCCCTGCTCACTGACGAGTGAGCGCGCTGTGCAGAGCCTTGTTTATCGTCTGTCCCCACTTGTGTTTAGAGAAAGAGGAGGCCGCCTTTGAGCGGGGGTACAAATAGAGTGAACGCTGGTGAACTTGATGGCTCGGACCTGTGTTGGCCTCTTAGGTGTGTTCTGAAATGCTGACGCTTGACGGGTCAATAACCATGGAAGCTGCTGGTGCCATGATGGGCTGTCCAATCGGCATTTTCTCAGGATAGAGAAAGGCTGGCTGTGGGGCCTTTGGTTAGCTCGTTGTCAACCAGAAGGGGCGTGGTTCGAACCCATCTAACATCTCTGGGGGAGAAAGACTGGGTGGTTGGTATCTATAAAGATGGTAGCTCAGGCAGCCCACGGGGCTGGTTTGACCCTGTCACACGGGTCACCGGGAGGTGGAAGGGGCCCAGAGGTCCCTGACAACAACAGAGGTTGGGCAGAAGCAGAAGGATACGCCTCTTGACTTTACAAGGCTTTTAGCAAGGGGCAGTCCCAAGGGCTGTGCGTCCTTTTCTCCACGGCTACAAAAAAATCTCCCCCAACACTTAGCTGGGGCGACCACCACATCCCTCGTGTGGCTCCTGTGGGTCAGTCGTTCAGGGCAACTGAGCCAGTGACTCCAACCCAGGGCTTTGCACCAAGTTTCAGTCAAGATGTCTCCCAGGAGAAAGCAGGGACCGATTGCAATGATGGACGTCTAACTCCTCCTCGCCCCACCCCACCAAGGGGATGAACACCAGAAACGTGGGTGAAGGGAGACAGCGGACAGTGCAAGATATGAAAGCAATCATAACTTATAATTTTTCAAGGGTTCACGAGGGTGGGAGGAGCGAGGGAGGGGATAACAAGGAGCTGATCCCAACGGCTCACGTAGAAAAAAAATGACGATGGCAACAAATATACAAATGTGCTTGACGCGTTGGACGTATGGATTGCTGGAAGAGCCGTCAGAGCCCCCAATAAGATGATTTATAAAATAAATAAATAAAGGAAAAGGAGAAAGGGAAAAAAAAGATGTCTCCCAGGACTGCAGCCACCCAAAGGCTTGACTGGGGCGGGAGCTCCACTTCCGAGGTGGCTTGTTCAAGTGCTGGGCATGTCCATCCTGGGTCCTGGCAGGAGGCACCAGCTCTTCGCCCCAAGCAGTCTTCAGAGGCCTGCTCTAGTGGCTTTACAGTGACAGCTGGCTGCCCCCCAGTGCATGATCCAAGGGAGGGCGGGCCAGGCAGAAGCCGCTGCCCCTTTTATGCCCTCGCCACATGCCTTCATTTCTGCAACATCCTATTAGTTACACAGGTCGGTCCGCCATGCTCAGTGTCGGAGCGGGCTGCCCCAGGGTGTAAGTAACACCAGGAGACAAAGCTCCCTGGGGCCATCCTGGAAGCAGCCAACCGCACTCCATTTCTGTAAAGATGGGTGCTCTGTGACCTGCAGGAATCTCTGCTGTGAGTCACGACAAGGTGGGAGTGAGGATGGACAATCTCTTGTCGGGAGACGGGTGAAGACCTCACGATGGGTGAGGTGCGCCTGAGGCTGCGGACCAGGTACACATCGACATGTCATTGGCTTGACGGCTTGTAGCAAGAACTCTGGAGCCTTCAGGGACTACCACGTGGTAGGCAGGATTTTTGGTCCCTGTTGTGCCTTTGGGCCCCTTCCCACCTGGTTGCCAAGGCAACCAGGCTTCAAGGAGTTCTCTCTTCTATTCACAGACCCTGCGAGCGGGAGCAGCATCGACTGGGCGTATGATAACGGCATCAAGTATGCCTTCACGTTCGAGTTGAGAGACACTGGCCATTATGGCTTCTTGCTGCCGGCCAGCCAGATCATCCCAACCGCGGAGGAGACTTGGCTGGGTCTGAAGACCATCATGAAGCATGTGTGCGACCACCTCTACTAGACCAGGACCCCCCACCCCCACTCCACTTCCATTTTAACCAAGCCCCCAGGTGCACACAGGCAATGCCCGTCTTTGGAATGGGGGTCCCTTCCTCCTCCTGCAACGCAGAGCCTCTGACCTTGTAAAGAACCCGGCAGCTGCTCTCCAGCCCTGGGTCCTGCAGGTGCGCCTGTGAGGAGCACCCTTCAGCCTCCCCCAGCCCCAGCTGGTGCCCTTCCTGCTATCTTTAAGTCCTGCTGCTTGGCTGAGCCCTTAGCACATTTCCTTCAGATCACACATGGATCCTCCCCTCACTGGTGGTACACCTCCCTCGACTTTGTTTTGACATCAAAGAACATCTGCGATGGGCCTCTACCTCCTCCACACCCACTCAAACCCATAACCTTGGTCAGATAAGGGGCTCACCAGAGGTGCCCAAGGACCCTAAGATCGCCTTCTGAACTCATTTCAGCAAGGAAGTAGATGCCCTTAAGTTGACCAGCCTCACCTTCCGGAACACGCTTTCTTTAAGCAGAACATCCTCCCAGGTCATCAGTACGGGCTTTCTTTTTCTGGGGATGGAGGGGCAGCCCGATGCAAAGTCCAGGATGACCTCCCATGGCCGGGCCAAGAATGCCTGGATCCCACAGTCCTCCTGGGCAGCCCTGGGGGTGCAGTGAAAGCACTCAGCTGCTAAGCAAATGGCCAGTGATTAAAACCCACCAGCCGCTCTGTGGGAGCAAGGCTTGGCAGTCAGCAGATGCCAGTGTTTCCCCTGGGAAACCCTCCCGGGCAGCGTCCTCCTAGGGACACGGTGAAGTGGGCCGGCTTTGAGGACTACGGGATGGTTTTCCTTAGAGTTTGTATCATCGCCCCCCTTCAGGGGTGGGCATTCCTGGGATACCAGTTTGTATCATCGCCCCCCTTCAGGGGTGGGCATTCCCGGGATACCGGAGGGAATGTCTGTCCCCTGAGGTCCTGGTCAGCCAGTCACTCCAAGTGAAGTGGTGCTGGCAATAGGCAGGATGCTGAATGACCCCTGCCCACCCCACCCGGAGGACCCACCCGTCTGCCGTTTGAACTCACTTCAAAGAGCTTGCCCTCACCCCACAGGCCCTAAATCACCCCCCTGTCGGGGAAGGTCACATCTGGCGGCATTCCTGCCAGGGCTCTGGCATTCCCTGGCTGGTGCTTTTCTCTCGCTGGGGAGCACCTGGAGGAGCAGGGATGCACCAGCTGGTTCTCCTTGTCCCGTTGCTCCTTCGACCTTTGCAGTGGGGTTTGTTTTTAGTTTTTCTCCACCTGTCTGCAGCTCCTATCTCCCTGGCCTGGGGTGTGTGCGGCATCTGGTTAATAAACACGGTTCCCTGTGACTGTCCTGTCATCTCCTATTGTTCACTGACACCTGAACAGAACCGAGGCCTGCCTTCGAATTGACGGCTCTCTGCCACGTCGGACAGTGTGTGCTAATCCCTGTCCCTCTGGCGTGACAGGTGGGGAGGCCACCTCCTGGGGCACCGTTCCCTGGGTGATGTCGTTCTGATCCCCAGGCCTGGCTCTTAGTGTCCCTGATCTCAAGCTTGACATGCTCTGTGCTTGCCTTGATTAGGCGCGGGTGTGCTGACTCACGCCCAAGGAGCACAGGCGAGCAGATGAGAAAAATCAGAATACGAATTTGTTCATTTACACCATGGCCGGTAACTGTTGAGTGGATTGGAGCCTCACGTTGGCCCAAATGGTACACTCTCTCCCTGTGGGCAAGAGACCTGGGAAGCCAAATGATAATCAGAAGGTTGCTTAGCGAGCAGGGCGGCAGAGCAAGGAAAGTTAATTACAGTCTCTGATTAGAATTTTTAATGGCACCCAGCTCGGATGGCGTGAGGGTTCCAGTCCCACAACTGAAGGACATCTGCCAGCAGCTGGCTGTCCCTTATGCCAGCCACTCAGGGCAACCCTAGACTCAACAAGGTCTCAGGAGGCCAGGCAGTGCTGGCCTCTGGGACACTGCACAGCTCTGAGCACCATCCCCACACTAAATAAGATGCTACAAAACCACACACACACACACACACGTCTGCCCACTCTGACTGCAGTCAAGAGAGGATGCTTGTTCATGAAAAGACACCCTACGGGCACTGAGAAAGCAGGTTGATCTCTTGGAGACAGCAAGTATGCACCATATTCGCCTCCCACCTGTCAGCCAAAGGGTGTGTGAAGAATTCCTGCAGATCAATAGGAAAAGCACCAACAATCCAATAGGGAAACAGGCAAGAGGCACAGTGGCCCTTCCCCTAGGTGGAAGCCAGCAGAGCTGACAGACAGATGAAGAGATGGATGGGGAGGGAGACACGGCTTCGGTCTCGTTGGGTTCACCGAAATTAAACAGTTGGAGAGACTGCGGATGACGGGGCCGCTTCGGTATTACTGGTGGGAGCGTGGATGAGCAAAACTGTTCCGGAAAAGCATGGACCCCAGCTTCTGTAGTTCACACCACTGACCCGGCTTGCCCACCCCAGCCTCGCGTGTACCCAGGAGACAAAGGAGAATGCACCCAGCGGGGTGTGCGGGGGGACAGACACGGAGGCAGGGAGGACAGGTGGAAGTGGGACACACAGGAACGAGGGATGAATGCTGTGACATTGTGGGGACTGTGATCAAGGCCACGAAACAAAATGTGTATGAGTCCGTGACAACACCTGGGAGCCCGTGGGTGTCAGAGTGGCACTGGGCATTGTGGGGTTTTCAGTGACTGAGGGGTGGGGTTTTTTGGACACGGAGCTCCAGGCACCTCTGGCTGGACTCGAACCCCCAGCTTTTGGTGCAGCAGCCAGCCTGCTCCCTGTGAGCATCACCCTGGGACTCCACTGAAATAGTGTAGAAGAGTCAAAACCAAGTTTCTAGGATACACTAGTCCGAAGTTTAGCACGGCCTCCTTTCTATGAAGTGCCGAACAGTTGAAAGACACACATCTGAAATAGAGTATCTGTGTGTGCTTACACACACATGGCTCGGGAAGACAGACAGCCTCGGATAAGACAGGCATGTGAGCTGGAATTCTTGTCCACCCCGAGACTGGAAATCCACAGACGAATCAGGCTGCTGCCATGCCCCTGCGAGCCTTGCTCACTTTGGACTTTTAATGAGGCTGAATGACAAAAAATCTCAACAGCTCCCAGAAGGGTACTCCCTGCGTGCTGTCCCTTGCAGTACTCTGTAGCCATATTTCGTAGCACCAAACTCCCTAATGTCAGCATCACGTCTATTTGCTGCGTGGGAGTTCTTCCTCTGGGCCTTTGCATGTTTCCTGGTGCTGACCAGATAGCCACGTTGCAGCCTGTCCTGGGGCCGGCATACAGGCTTGGCTGGTGAGCACCTTGAATCAGGGCCCTATTCCGTGACAGCTCGCACTGCCCCCACCCCGTACCCCATCCTGAAAGCCTCCCAGATCCAGCCGAGACCAAACGCCACCGTGCCATGCACTTGAGGAGGTACGGGTGTGTGGGGCGGCGGGGGGCGGGCACCTCTGTTTTTTTCTAGGTGCTGGCTGGGGCCTGCTCGAAGATCCATTTGGGATAAAGTTAAGGGTGAGCTCTAGTTTGGGGCCGTCCTGGGCAGGCTGCATTCCTCTTAAGTTACCACGAAAAGACCAAAGGCCGCCAGGCCTCGCACACCCAGGCACCGCGCTGTAGGCCAATAGATGGTTTGTGACACCCTGCGGTGGCGGGCGAATCTACAGGTGTCCTTGTCCCAAGAGTGGGTGCTCATTTTGTGCTTGCCCTATTTTGGTCACGCTTACATGGGTTCAAACTTTTCAGACCACAGGAGAGATCATCCACGTAACCCGGCTCTGCCCTGGGAACCCAACCAGCCCCAAAGCGTATGGTGGTGGGCTGAAGCCGCACGTGCATTATCTTTGAGATTGGCCTGGGTGTCGAATCTTCTTCTTTTTTTAATCATTATCAGCAGCAGCAGCCTAATCTTTCTGGTTGATGGATTCTGGAATTCTGCCAAAGCAGGCAGCTTGGAAATAAATTCTCTCTATTATTGTACCGAGCCTTAAATCACGAAGACCAGCTGCTTCTTGTATCTGAAGCAAAGCCCCAGGTGTATTGGGGGCATCCAGAGGGCACCAGCAGGTCGCCCCCCTTCTAGGATCTTCGGGTGGGCAGTGCAGCGGGGTGCTCTGCTCCTGTAACTTTGTGGGGCTCCTGTTCTTTTGTGGCTCCTGTGAGGCAGACCCCAGGGCTGGTCAATGCTCGCTGCTTCAGGGCCTCCATACTACGTCCTCAGGAGCCAGGCTCTTGGCCCGTGAGGGCAGTGGAGGGGGAGAGACAGACAGAGAGAGAGAGAGAGAGAGAGAGAGAGCCTTTCTCCACCAAAGTCCCCAGTGGGATTCAGGACAAGAGACTGGAACGGATGTCCCTGAGCCGGAAGGAAGACAAGGACGTGGCTTCCACGTGGTTCACCTTCTGGTGGGTCCAATGGTCTGCAGCTCTGACATACAGTACTTCCCGAGCTTCTGGGGCGGTCATTGGTGCAATGTGTGTGGACCTGGCCATCATGTGGCTGATGGGGGTTCTCACGTGCTACTCTGAGGCAGAGCTGAACAATGCGGGCCTCTGGTTGGCTCTGGGCTTTAGAACGCGCACAGCTCCACCAACCTCCATGGGCTCGCTCACACCCCAGCATGGCCCGGCCAGCCCCTGACGGGTGGGCTTTCAACTTAGCGGTGACAGGAGGGACTTTAGGGAGGGGACAGCTGCCATGACTGGCCAGTGGCTACATGGACGGAGGGGCGTCGTGTTGTCTCACCAGAGACCTGAGCTTGGAGGGTCGTGCCATGCAGGGGTCATGTTTTCATGCTCAGGAGACATCTGGACTGAGCCCCAAACACTTCTCTGCCCCGGTCAGCAACTTCACGTGCTTTGTGCCCTTTCATGCGGATTGACTATGGACCCTAGACCTTTCGAGCAGTGGTCCTCAACCTGTGGATCGCGACCTCTTTGGGGGTCGAATGTTCCCTTTCACAGGGGTTACCCCATTCATAACCATAGCAAAATGACAGTGATGAAGTAGCAATAAAAACAATTTTATGGTTGGGGGTTTCACCACCACATGAGGAACTATATGGAAGGGTCGCGGCATGAGGAAGGTTAAGAACCACTGCCCTAGACCCACTTACACCTGCAATGCAGAATCGATGGGTTTGCGTTGTAGTGCTGGTGAGGAATTTTGAAGAATTACCACGCACCAATGAAAGGACAAACTGATTTGTCGTGGAAGAAGTACCGTCAGAGTGCACCTTGGAGGCAAGGCAGGCAAGGCTCTATCTCACATACTTTGGACGTGCTGCCAGGAGACACCAGTCCCTGGAAAAGGACATCATGTTTGGTAAAGTGGAGGGATGCAAAGAAAACAAGAAGAGGAAGGCCCTCGAGTTGGATGGACACAGTGGTCATTGTGGGGACAGGGCACAGGATCCATTGTGGGGACAGGGCAGCTCCGGGCAGTGTTTCCTTCTGTTGTGCATGGGGCTGCGATGGGTTAGAACCCACTGGAAGACCCCTAACCACAACTATGGGCGGTGCCAGGGGACAGGTGCCAGCTGTCCTTCTCTGGCTGCCCCACTGGCCAGTGGCTTCTCTCAACAGGCTCCGGACTCATCTCTGTTGGAGGATATTTAGACAAGCAGCACTGGCTTTGGGAAACTGCCAGGTTTGGGACTTGGAAGTCCTCCCGGGGCAGAGGTGTAGACGGACTTCCTGTTGGATCTCAGTCCTGACACAGCTCCTGGTGCATCATAAAGATGCCCGGGGTGGATGCCTCTGGTCGCCGCGTTGAATATCAACTTCACATCTAGAGGAGCCCAGAGCCTTCTTTCCAGCGAGCTAACCGGCGGAGGCAGCCCCCCTCCCTTCCTCCCTCAGCTCTCAATCTCTTGCCGGGCATTGCTCTTTTCTGATGGCTGTGAGAAATGAGGGGTCAGGAAACGCCAAGACCTTCTGCTTCAATTCCAGCAAATCTGTTTGAGACGACTGCGTGGCCAGGCCCAGAGGGGATGGAAGAAAGACCTGTCTCATCATTGTGAAGTGATATTTCTAAAACGCAGTCCAGAGGCCGCTGGCGGGTAGACAGGTAGTCACTTGGATAAGGAGGCGAGTCAAGGAAGAAGGCACTAACTGGCCCTCCCCTCCCTCCTGCCCTGGGGCCAGCAGCAGGATCAGTGTTCAATGGACTTGTCTCCGCATGTCCTCTGGGCTTCCTGGCGTCTGGCAGGAGGTCCACGAAGCCTCAGTTTATTCTGGGAGACAAATGAAGACTCACGGGGTCAGAAAGCTTATTGATTTAGACTGGAAAGTGGATTCACTGCCAGGCTAGGGAGACTCTGGGAGCATTTTCTTCCCCGTCTGCCCGAGTTGTGGAGAGGTGGAAAGGATGCAGGGGGGCAGCCCTGTTGAATATGGGGGGGGGCCGCGGGGGGCAATGGAGTCATGAGCATTGACAATCACATCAGGAGCTTGGAAAGAAATGGCCCAGAGATGACAACCTGATTCCCAATGGAAGGAGAAATGGTAGCAAGTTGATCATTGGCTTTCCGGGGCTGCTCGTAGCTGGTGGAACTCTTGTTCCGACAACACCAGGACTTGGTGCTCTGTTTCTCTGACACGTGGATTCAGGTCTGTGGACTCCTCAACTG